CCTCCGCAGAATAGAAATATATACGTTAAAACTTGGAAAAAGAAAACAATCAGTGATCAATAGCTTCACATGTAATGAAAAAAAACGATCATCGGTGGGGACTGCATATCAGTCGTATTTCGTCATATATAACGCGATGGGATATAGTCTTGATCTTGGAATCAAGAAACACCACGAGATATGATCGTAAATGGTTGTATTCTGTAAGGTAAATGATCGTATTCGAACGTTTTCGCCGCTGTATATGACCGTTTCTAACTGTTCTAACTCTCATCCTGCATTCATATTGTGTGTCGCTGATTGTTCGATAAATGTTCAGCGCTCGTGCTAAATGCCGATCGGCCAGATCATACTCCTTTAATTCTGCATAGTGACTTGCTAACTTTATGTCTATATCAGCAACTTTACTCTTTTCATTGTAAAATCTTGATCTTCCTTCACATAATCGCAAGACACTGTGTAAATGTTCAGATGCCAACTCGTATTGATGCAACTTCATGGAGGCATCTGCAAATACTACATTGATTTCTGCAATTTCGTTCATCGTACCACTAAAATCTGTTGATTCCATAATTTCTTCATACAGTTTCATAGCTAGAGAAAGATGTGTATATGCTAAATTATACTGACCTAACTGAATGTAAATCACCGATAACTTTTTATAACTCAAAGCAATTTTGTGTTTTTTACTATTAATATCATCTATATCATCACTTCGATTCATTGCTTGAGATTTCAGTTTAAATTCATGACTGGTTAACTGATAGTGAAGTCCTGAATTGCAATCATGTTTAAATTTGATATAGATATCAGCCATATGTTCGCAAATGTTTTCGATCCAATCTATAGGTGGTTTTGTTTGTTGTAGATAGATATCAAGAACAGTTTTGTATCTGATCAAAGCATCATCAAATTTGTTTACTAAAACAAAAAGATCAGCTAGACGTTCGACGCGCGACATAATCATAATATCATTTTTTGGATAGTATTTCAACATTTTTTGAATAGCAAGTTCTAAGTATTTCATAATCATCGGAGCATTCTCTCTTGTATTGTTACTAATATGCATTTTACAACTATATAAATTGACCATTCGGTTCACTGCATCTATTTTTTCATAATCTGTATGTGCTTTTTCTTCTGCTGATCGCGTATAAGATATAGCTAAATCACAATGCATCATAGCTGCATTTTTATCACGCGGATGTCTTGCTTCAAAACAAACAGCTATCAGCTTGTGTATCTCACCAATATTCAACAAGCGATCATATTCGTCGTCGTTTATGTAATTATCCCATATCTCTAGAGCTCGTTTATAGTATGAGATTGGTTCGCTATAATTTCGTAATGTTTCGTATTTCCGTAATCCTAAACAATTTAATTTGATAGCCCAAATCCACTTTTCCATGGAAGGAAATAAATCACTCAATTCATTGAATAGAATATTTATATCTTCAATTGGTATATGAGTACTACTTCTCATCAGTTCACTCGAACAAAATTTTAATGCTTCTTCAAGACTTCCGTGGCTAGTACTCTCATCTAATCGATATTCTTGAGGATGGTAAGCATAGTCGAAATCCATCTTGACAAGCCAATAATTTTCATTCTCATTGAATAAAATATCTTGTATCTCGAATTTACATCCAATCATAAATAGTAATTCTGATTCCTCGGAAAAATAGCTTAAAGAAGAAATATCCGCATATAAATTTGATATAACTTGTGCACCATCAATTTCAAATTCAAATAAAACATTTTGAAATTGATCATTAGGCTTTACGAGTGAATTTAAGAATATTACTGCCACATGGTGATTGAGACTAGTAGATAAAAAGCTATTATTTGTAATGTAATGGCCAATTTTTAATTGTTTGATTTCATCTACATGCATGACTTGCCCACGGTACGATTTGACTATTGGATGATGGTCTAGTTGTGTGGATTTAAATTTTTCAAATTCTGCTTTTAGTTGTTGATACAAGTCTTGAACAAAAAATCCGAACAGAAACATGACCTTAATATTGTGTTGACGAAGAGCTTTATTCAATAAATGGTAGAAAATTGTTGGACGAGTATACCACCATATAGCTTCATTCGATTTATAATTTGTTTCAAATTCTGATAATTGATGAAGTTGGTTAACCTTTCCTTCGTAGTAAACTCTTAACAATTCAACCAGTTTATGACGAGAATCGTTTGAACATGGCAATGCAATTAGTAGGCGAATGAAGTCATGCCACCAATTGCTACCGTACTTATCTGTTGTTCTATCGATTTTATTGCATCTGTCGAAGTTGAAAACTATTTCTTGTTTCAAGTAGTTTTGAACATCTGCAGACAAATTATCCAATATATGAGCAGCATCTTTCTTGACTCCTATAGCCTAAATAAAACATGGGAGAAGAAAATATACCGATGATGGACTAGCGGTATCTAACAAAGTACACACGGTATTATGTCATACTTTCGCATAGGTTGGAAACCATTTCTGTTGATTTTCTGGTGTAGATGGAACATAAATTTTTAAAACGTTCTGAAAATGATGTATTTGTGGAATAAATTGTTGTACTAATTCTTCTGCGCAAACTAAAAATGTCGTAGTATCTTGTGTTTTTTCAATGAATTTGAAACAGTCTTCACTATTGTCAAACACTTTCGTATAGTCAACAATATTTCGTAGACTTTCTATACTAACTGTACTTTTCTGATTGAAGTCTGGATCAAGCCATAGTAGCTGATGTGACTCTAGATTAACTTGTCGACGACTGAATAATTGATGACGTTCTATACTGAAATTGCAATGAAAATCATCGCTTAACATTGTATCATTTGAAAACATTGTCCGATGACATGAGTTTTCACGTCAAAATACAGTCATTCTCTAAAATATTAGACATACGTTCACTTTCATTTATTGACCTACTCTTGTGAATTCATCTATGCTACTGATGACAGGGTTATTATGAAATCTTTCATCGACCAGCCAAGAGCACTTCTTTTTTCTTAGGTTACTTTTACACTTTTCCCATAAGAGTCAATTCATGTCTATCATCACTAACTTCCAGTGTAGCCGTTTAATCGATGGTTGCCAACTTTTCGGTTCTTTCCATATTTTAGAGCGCTAAATATTAGATGAACTGTTCGGGGTGTTAGTGTGATCCCGATTTTGAGTGAAAATATTACAAAGTCATACATTAGGATAGATCCACATCCTACTAATTATATACTATTAAATGAACGTTTCAATTCTAACACAAAACTATAAAGCCAAGTTTTTAATTCTCAAACGAATCTATTAAAATTTCCATTAAAGCAATGTAGCCCTAATACTAAAGTCACATTTGTAAGTTTTAATTTTTCCGAGAAAATTAGAAACAATACCGCAAATCAGCGAATAAAGTTTAAAAAAGGTATGTACGTTTTCTTACTCTATTTTCTGCTATGGAATCTATGTCAATCATAGGAATAAGGCAAAGAGGAAATTAAAAAAAACATGCTTTTTCGGTCTGCCTCATAAAAAGTCGGGTAACTATGTGCTCACGTAATTGATGAACCAGAAGCAAACTCAAATAACGTTCACGATACTTTTATATGCGCAGTTAGAGATTGTTGGCAGCAACTTAAGCAGCCAGAGAGAGAAAATAAACGGAACCAAGAAGTATGAGTTCTCTCAAAGAAGTGACAAACAATATGTGAAGTAAAAAAATGAAGGAAATCGGGAGTAAATGCATTTTCTCTTTCCAATCTTCTTTTCAAATTTCCATCAACTCTTCAAAAGAGTGAGACAAAAAGAACTAACTTGGCGTACATTCCTCCCTCTCTCATAAGACGTCAGGAGTGTTGGCACAATCGAGGGAAGAACAGAAAACTAAAATAGCATATGATTATGATATTTTTTCAGAAGTAGCGAGCGATCAAGGCTAAGTAAATGAAGAAAAAGAAAAATAAAAGAAACTAACGGGGTTTGTATTTTTCTCAGAAAATGAAAATAATTAATTGAAATAAGAAAATAAAAGAAAAACTCGAAAGCGTCTTTTCTCTTTGTATTCCCTCCTTAAAAGCGGCATCATCCAGAGGAACAAAAGATGGATAAACAGATTAGTAGAATTTCTGGTCATGACGGAGCGACCTGGTTGTGGGATTTGGTGAGTGTGGGGTGTGAGGTGTGAATGTGGTAATAGTTGTAGATGTTCTCTTTCTCAATACCCACACCCACACTCACCCTAGGCGTGTTTCACTGTCCTGCTGTACGTCCAAAAGAGATACTAAATTGAAAAAGCAGAGCGTCTATGATGCTACATACGACAAGTTCTAGTTATATGTATCGGTCGAGTCTGGACTAGTTTAAATGATAGAAGTAAATAGATGGAGATTATGTTCAAACATGTACATAATATGTCACTTACCCAGTGTTGAGTCTATATGAGTTATCCAGTGAAGTCATCCACTTCTACATATCAATAGACATCATAGGACGTTATTAATATAATTATATTAGTAATTTTTTCAGTTGTTGATACCGTGAGGGTTCAAAAAAGCATGTTCACTTTTTTTGACATATGAGTTATTCGACATAAATCGCGACCGAATCTGTTCAATCGATGATGGCCAATTTGGCTAGTTTTTACATATGTTATAGAGACAAGTGTTTAATAAATTTCTATGAAAGCCGTTTGAAAAAATATTGTACTATTCTGGAGGTATTTAAATTTGTCTCAAGGCACTATTACCCAAAAAAGGAGCATTTTTTGCTATTTCTTGTGGCACTCATATCTCACTAAGGATATATCCGTTTAGCTTGAAATCTTTACTGTAAATACGTCTCATGTTGAACTGTTATCCGTAAAACAATGAGCTCGAATAGATTTATCCTTATTGAGATATGAGTGCCACAAGAAATAGCAAAAAATGCTCCTTTTTTGG